TCAGATTGCTTATTATTTTTTGAATTTTATATTTTGGATGTAAACAAACTACGTCATCGTACGCCCACCTATTGTTTGATATGTTGCGTTTATCCATGTTTACATAATAAAGCTCCGTTTACATAAAAAATAAAACTATTTTAATCCTCTGAATGTTCGGGCAATGCTTCCATCACCATAACAAATTAAAGAAAGCAGAACAGACACGAGGAAGCTTTATGACGTAGATTTGATTGCGATTGTAGGGTTGATGACGCTGATTTCGTGATTTTGTTTGCGGTAATCTCACTTTCCTGCCACTGGCTTCAACCGCCATTTGTAATTGTTTGAAGTAAATCAGTTATCTCTAAAACAGAAATATGATTGATAATCATATTCCTGGCACGTATCAGTATTGTCTAGCCGGGTTAGAAAATATAGCTTTAGGGGTGTGTATCCGTGGAAGTAAAGAATCGGTAAAGTTGTGCAATCTTCAAAATTCAAAGATTAACAAATTTTGAATGGTGAACTATAATATTGCTGGTGCGGTAACCACTTGTTACTAACATCCTACTGAGACACGAGAAAAAAAAAATATTTTCAGTTTTCCAGGAACATGTTGAAACCAGTAGCGGTCAATGCTCAAGATGTCTATTTTCCTAGTTCTTCTCGTTATTACCTTCCATTTCATCAATTCACTCTTTGGTACTTACAAGCAGTTCATTTTGACTTTAAAGCAACAGGCGTGCATTCGACAAATAAAAAATTTGAGTAAGATGTCGGTTGTTGATAAGTGGTTGAGATTTTACTCTCTCGCTGAAAAGCACACAGTTGGTGAAACAGGAAGGTTTAATTGCAAAACAAACTGATCAACGGTGACGTCTTTTAAAGTAAATGCCAAGTTAGTCTATGGTTATTTCAATAAAACAAACGAGTGATGTCTTTTTTTATCACTGAAGAAGAAGTTTCAGATCTTTTTCGTTTAAAAGCCTTCTCATAAGTGAAATTACGATCACTAAAGTAGTTTTAAAAAATCAAAGAATGCTTCTTCAAAATACCTTTTCTTTTCCATCCAGCTTTTTATACTTTTTCCACAATTTATTATCATTCGAGTATCGTAGTGAATACTTTGTGACCCAATGTCTGTGAATGGGGTCTCCCTGAGTCAATACGGCACAAATGCAGAATATTTTACCCAGATCTATCTGAAGGTATTGGTTACTCGCTGCAAGAGGTTTCCACGAAGAATAACCTTGTAATCGAGCCATGTACGGACGATTATATTGGTCATTAGACGTAGCATTAAATCGATGCTTTGGTACGACTAATGGACTAGGGACACCAACACTGTGCTTTGAACACGCTGAAGAAAACAAAGACAAACTGCAATAAAATTGCTGCTGAACCTTAAATTAACTCTATTTTTCCAAAATCTTATCGATTGTTAACAATACTCAACATTCCGTCAACATTTCCGGAAAATGCACTCTTTTTGAAATCTGGGACCTGGTACGAGTGTGATGTCTGCTATAAAATTAACACTCACTGGGTGATTGATTTGCGACCAGGCCTGCATATGAATTCGCCAAGGTTGTAAGCCAGTGAGCCCGTGCATTTTTGTTAAGCGGTCATACTTGTCACTCAGATAAACAGTACAAGTCGTGTTAAATTTATTTACATAACTAAACAAAATGATTATAGAATTTAATCTTTAAGAATTGAATGTCTTCCTACGCATGCCGCTCTGCAGAATATATTTACAAGATCCGGCTTAAAAGGCAAACTTGCTATGCTTGCAATGATCGGTGTGGCGTCACAGCCAACCAAAAAAATATTCGTCAATGCCCGGTCAACGTTCCGCGCGAAAAAAAGTATGATTTGCTTTTCATTTTTTGTTGATCATACATTTTTTCATTGACATTGTTATTGATGTTTGAGTTAATGTTTTGAGTTATAACAATTTTGGAGGGATCCCGATAAAAGTACCGGGCATCCCGATAAAATTACCGGAATGCCGCGATTTCTTTTGTGCTATTAATTGAAATTATGGTGGTTCTGACGATTTTTCGCACAAAAAATCGACTGACTGACGTTTAATTCTGGGACTGAACGCCAGGCAGTCAAAAAATCTCAAAGTCCCGTGCTTATGATCATACAAACTTGTCGAACAGTATTATTTCGGTCTTTATTGCATTTCCCTTGCTGTATTAATTGAAATTACGGTTGTTCCGACGATTTTTCACAAAAAATCCACTAAAGGCCTAACTAAAGGAAATTTCCAGAAACTTCAAATTGGCAGATCCGACGAGCATCACCAGTACTTTTACACTTTAAATAGTTAGCAGTTTCAAATTTAATGTAAGTTTACTTGATTCCAGTTGATAGCCATAAATCTCCATCCTCAAGCATGGCAAACCATGGTATGTTTGGGGTGCAATACGGACATATCTTGCTGTGGGGCTGTGGTACAATAACTGATGAGATATCGTCGATCGATCGTGGTTCCCGTAGAAAATCTATAAAAAATGCAAGTTAGTTTTCTCTAAAATCAAAAGAGCAATTACACAAATTCTTAATGAGAGATAATTAAGCCACAATCCTTGCAACAAGGCAATCTGTGTACCCTTGTCACATTGCTTTCCTTGTACAGAGACCATAAGATTCCATTTGAGGATATCGAAATGTGATACGATTTTACCCAACGATCAGCAATATTGCAACCCTGTGTACCAACAGCGCAAACCACATGATGTGAACCCAAATCAATTGTGAGGTAAGGT